AGTTTTCTTGTTTGTTTAAATTTATTTTGCTATTTAATTTTTCAGGTCACAAGGCCACACATTAAATAAATGCCATTTGACTTAATCATCTAAGAAAATAAAGGAAAGGTTTATGGAATGCGCAAATAAGTTTGGGACAATACATTCTAGATATCTTAAAAGTAGATTTACTTTTGAAGATATAGATTTATATTGGTTATGATCAGGTTATTAGAAATATATAGTTAAATACTTTAAGAAATTATATTTATATTTATATAATATATTTAGTAAAAAATATATGCTGAGAATTTCTTTAATATACATATAAATAACATCTATTTCAACTATTACTCTTCAAGTGGAATAAGAAATTCAAGTTAAGTATTTTAAATTCCCGAAAAAGACCGCGAGTGCCTTTTTTATGAGGATGGTAATTTTGTTTTTGAACAGAAGATAATCCTTTCATTATGTTTTATGATATTAATAATAGAATGATAGATAAAGGTATGCTCTTAATATTTGATAAAAGTGCTGAGATAAAAGGTCAATAATAAGAAAGCTAAACCAATGGCTTCCTTGAGCTCTATTTCTTGAAAATATGGTGTTATCTTTTCCATATCGATAAAATTAAAAATTTAGATATTTGTTCTCTATGAGACTTGTTTCGATAAACAAAATATACCCAATATTTCGGTAGCGGATATGGAGGCTTTTATGTCGAAAGATTTAGAAAGATCTGCTCTGTTTTAATAAATGCTTGCTAAATTGACTTTTTCCTCATTGGTTTTGTTATGCATATTACATGGTAAAATGAGATATAAACTTCAAATATGTGAGGGTCTTAATTGGATTTATGTTGGGGATAAGTAAATGAAAATTTTGCTTTAGAGAAGTCTGTTAGGGCTCCCATTCATTAAAATCACCATTTCAATTTACATCTAGAAAAATACATACCCAAGTATAATTATTAAAGATCAGAAGAAGGCAACAGGATAAAATAAACCAGGCAATCTGTTTATACTGAAGATGTTGTTATTTTTTCTATAGAAATGTAACATAAAAGATTAAGAACATTTATAAAGGTAATATTGGAGTATCAAAATATATTACAAGAATGAATATTGAGAAAATGGAATAGAATAGTATGGGCATGGAAGATATTAAATGATTTAAATACTTAGGTGTTAGGATTATCAGTAAAGGAGTCCTGGTAACACTATAAAGGAGTTAAAAGAATGGTTACCAACTTCTCTAGCTAACTCGCCCTCTTGTCAAAATTTCTCAATCCCAAGAGTATGATATAGCTATGGAACTCCTCTGGAAAACCCTTTTTTGGCTTCCCTTTGCCTGTTCCGGATTAACTTGAATTTAAAGAGATAAACTGTGAAAGAATCAAGTAAGAAAATCCTTTGTTTACAAATCATAAAATATGAAATGGATCTCGCCAATGAAGAATTAAATTATCTTACGGAGCCAGAATTAAAATAATTTGGAAGAGTTTTAAAGAATTGCTAAACTCCAGTTTAGTTCTAATTTGGATTTTTTATGAGTTATAAATTATCGTGAAGGAATTTTACTCTATTCTAATAGAAAGTGAACCATAATGGTAAATGGATCTTTTTTAACTCCAAAATTAAAAAAGATGAATCTTTATAATAAGTATTTAACTTAGCGAATTTCAGTAAAGTTTATTGACTCAATAATTAACTCTCTAATTATATCATGAAAAAATTTCTTTGATGACTAAATGAAGAGAGGATAAAGATTGATAAGTGATTTCCTATAATATAAATAAATAAATTTAGACTCTGACAGATAAGTTTGTCCTTTAATTAAACTTGAAGGCTCTTCAAACAGAATTATAGAATATATTCTAAACCTTTAGTGTAAATCAACACTATGGCACATGCGCATTATAATAATAATATCTTTTAATCAATAGAATCTTCATTTAAACAATTTTTAAGTTAATAATACGTAAGGTTAGTTTGGGAACTAAATAAAATATGTGGTACAAATGATTTTCCTTAAAATAGTTTTTCGATGTACAAGAACGAAAGATAATCTGATTTAAGTTATAGTTATTGTTAATTTTGGAATTTTGATTATGAAGCAAACAATTTTTGATATTTATTCATGAATTCATTTATTAATAGCTTTCTATTTTTATTAACCTTCTGAAATTACTGCATCATTTATACATTATTTTACTCGTATTTATCGGCTTAGCTTTTATATCTTCATTGCTGCTTTTCTAAATCAGCCTTTGCTTCTTCTGTATATCGTTAATCTTTATGTTTCTTATCCAAAATAAGCATAATGTATCTACATAAGAAGCCATTTTATCAATTTTTTTACTAATTCTGATTGTAGGTTTTCCATTTTATGTCGTTGTATAAAGATTAGATGTGTTAATTTTGATTAGTTTTATGAGGAGTTTGCCAAATTTTGGTCCCTTCAAAATTGAGATGTTACAACTTTATAAATCATATAAAATATTTATTTTTATTTATCATTGGCATGGTTCATTTTTGAATGTACTAATATAAACTATAGAAGCAACAAAGTTGTTAAAATTTGGCAATAGCTTTTACCGTTTAGGTTTAATAAAATAAGAATTATAATTAATATCATAATCATTAATACTGCGACTTATTAATAATATCTGACTTTAATAATTTAAAATAACTGAAGTAATTTAACTTAAATCTCCAATAAAATAGATTCGATGTTGATGATGGTAATTTTACTTAATACTATAACTTTTAATTAATACTTTCAAATTTCTAACACTAAAGAGAATTGAAATAATTGATATTAATTATTATGTATTGTACCTTATTTTATATTCCAATTATCTAATGGAAAGATTAATAACAAAATTTAGCATTCTGCCGCTTTAGATATATATTCTATTAAAGCGCTCATAAAGCTTTAAAATTGAAGCGAAATTTCTTACCTACAAGAATAGATTCTGTGACGCAGAGATTAGATATTGTACTTTCTTTTTAACTTTCAATGGATAAATAGTCGTATTACAGCAAAAATGATGTTTCTCAATATGATCAAAAGTCAATTCAGAACTATATTCATTACATTTTTAAACTATTGTAGTTAGCAAAATAAATCCTTTTAATGGATCCTCTGTAGAGTAGTCTAATTTTACGAATTCTTTATCAATGATGCAAGATAATCTAAATAAGGTTTTTGATATGAAAGCCAAGATACGTAGTTTCAGAGATAGTATACTACTCAGATTTTTAATGATACATAAGAAATATACTATATTCTTGATATGCATTCAATGCTCACT